CCCCCCTCCTCCCATTCCCCCCTCTCGACAGCCACCTCTCCCTGCCACACTCCGACCCACTCCCACCACCTCCCCCTCTGTCCGATCGCCCCATGATGGACCACCCGACGCCAAGCCGGGCCGAGTCCACGCATCACAAGCGCCGGCGGCTGAACGCCTCGCCGGGTCTCGCCGATGACCGGACCGAGCTGCTCGACGTCGAGGAGGACTTCGGGACTGACATGGCCCCGCCGCTGATGCCCCCCCCTCCGACAGTCAAGCCAAGCTCCATCCTGCCGGCCCTGTCTTCCCTGTCTGCCAGTGTCATCGGGCCCCCGGCTCCCGGGAACACACCGGCCCTCGCCAACCGGGCCGTCAGCGCTGCCAGTGCGGCTCTCAGCGGCGATGCCTCCTCCTTCGGCGGCATGGTCCTCGGGGTGACCGCCGAGTCCGGGGCTGCTGAGCACCATCACGCCCCGGCGCCCGCAGCCCTCGAGCGCATGGGCTCCGTCAATGACAAGAGTGCGCGCCCCCTGTGGGCCTTCCCTGTCTCCTCCTTCCCCCCTCTCTCCCTCCCTCTGCCCGCCCCCACTTCGCTTTGTCTACACACACACACATGCGCACTACCCCGTCCTCCTCTCCACCTGACCTGTGCTCGCAGTTCAAGCCCTTGAGGCCCTGTCCCGCGCGCGGCTTGCCTCGCTGAATTCCCTGCAGCAGCGCCATGACAGCTTGACCGCCGATTACGAGGCCCTTGTGGAGAGGTGCCAGGCTCTCGGGGAGCAACGCGAGCGCGACCTCGCCGCACTCACATCCAAGCACAAGGGGCAGCTGCTTCTTTTGCGCCAGGGCAACCGGGTGCCCGACTCGGAGCTGAGCCAGCGTCTGGCCGCAGCCGAGGGCACCGTCGCCGAGCTGGAGCGTCGCCTGGAGCAAACCCGCTCCCGAGCGGCTGGAGACTTGGCCACAGCCGAGGCGGACTTCCGTGCCCAGCTGGCTCGTGCCACTTCCTCGCTGGAGGCCCAGCTGGCCGCAGCTGAGGCCGAGCTCGGCCGGGCCAATACCGCGTCGACCGATGTGCACGCCGAATTGACCGCCCTGCGCCGGGAGAATGACGCCCTTCGGGAAGAGGGGGCCGCGCTGCTGGCGCGCTTGCGCCAGGAGGATGCCGTCCGTCGACAGATGCACAATCGCATCCTCGAGCTCCAGGGCAACATCCGGGTGTTTTGTCGGGTCCGCCCGGCATTGGCCGACTCGCCGGCCGAGGCCGACGCTCCGCTGGCCGCCATCACCATCAGCAGCGCGCCGGAGCTGGCCGGCAAGCATCAGGTGACGCTGGTGGCCTCGTCAGCTGGCGGCGCCGCGATGTCTTCCGGCTCGGCCGGGGCAGCTGGCGCTGCGGCTGCTGCTGCGGCGGCGGCCGCCGCCGCCGCACAAGCTCGCCGCCGGGGAGTTCCCCTGCGCACGAGCTTTGCCTTTGACCGGGTGTTTGGCCCCCAGGCCGACCAGCTGTCGGTCTTCGAGGAGGTCCAGCCGCTGGTCCAGTCGGCTTTGGATGGACATCGGGTGTCCATCTTCGCCTACGGGCAAACCGGCTCCGGCAAGACCTTCACCATGGAGGGGGCCGGGGCCGGTCCTCCCGGTGAGGATTTGCCCCCGGCGGCCGGGCTGATCCCCCGCGCGGCACGGTACATCTTCTCGTCGGTGGCTCGCAAGGCCGCCGAGACGGGCTGGGCTTGTCGCGTGTCGGTGTCCGTGGTGGAGATCTACAATGAGACCATCCGCGATTTGCTGGCCCCCCCCGGGCAGTACGCCCCGGTGGGTGCCGGCCCCGGGGGAGGCGGCCCGGGACCGGGCCCCGGTGCGACCGCGGCGGCGGCGGCTGCCGCCTCGCCACCGGTCCGCCATGAGATCCGCATGCACTCATCGGACCCGCGGGATGGCGTGTACGTCAGTGACATTCTCATCCGGGTGGTTCGATCGGAGGAGGAGCTCCACAGCCTCCTTGGCCTGGCCTCGCGGAACCGGTCCTCCGCCTGGACATGTGCCAACAACCGTTCCAGCCGGTCGCATTGCCTGGTCACCCTGCGGCTGGAGGGCCAGGACCCCGGGGCCCCGGGGCTCACTTCCTCCGGCATGCTCAATCTCATTGACCTGGCCGGGTCCGAGCGACTGACGGATGTCCCGGCGGCCGAGGCCCTGGCCGGTCTGGCCGGTGGTCCGGGCCCGCGCGCGGCCAGCGGCGCCGCGGCCACCGGCGTCCGTGAGAAGGAAACCCGCGCCATCAACCTCTCGCTGAGTGCCCTGGCCGATGTGATCGCCGCCATCAGCGCCCAGCGTGTGCATGTGCCCTTCCGCCATAGCAAGCTGACCCAAATGCTGGCGGACTCGCTGACGCCGCCGGCCCCGGCCCCGGCCGGCGCGCCGACCGGCTCCGGCCCGGCCATCTGCCTGGCCACCGACACCAGCACCCTTCTGCCGCCGCATGTGCCGCGGCCGCGGCACCTGAACATCGGCAGCCCGAAGGTCTTGATGCTGGTTGCCGCGTCGCCGCTGGCCATCCACACCTCGGAGACGCTGAATTCCCTGCGCTTCGCGGCCAAGGTCAACAGCACGGTTGTCGGTGGGGGGTCGCTGCCGGCGGCGGCGGCGGCGGCGGCGGCGGCGGCGGCCGTGGCCCCGGTCGACTCGCCAGCTGGCCCTGCCTCGCGGCGAGATTTCTCCGCTTCCGCGTACAACCCCCTGAGCCCGCTGGCCTCGCTGTCGGCGTCGACTGCCTCTCCGCGGGGGGGCTTCCACAATGAAGGCCCCGCTGGCCCGGGCGGGGGGCGTCCGTCCGGCCGATCTGCCGGCACCTCGTCCATCGGGTTCGGGTCCTCCTTCGCCCGGTGAACGCCGGTAAAAAAGCCCATGCTCTCCTTTGCCCCTTCTCCTCCCCCGGGCACTGAGGGTGGGGATGTGCGCGTGCATGCGTGCGTGCATGCGTGCGTGTGCGTGCATGCGTATGTGTGCACGCACATGCACGCACATACATGCTCCCTTGTCCTTGTTTCCCTGTTCCTCGCCGCCTTTCCCCACCTGCGGTTATACATATTCATCTAGATGTCACCTATTGTCTCGCAGCCATGTCCCTTCCCCCCCCCCCCCTCTCTCTCTCTTTCTCTCTCCTCCTCCTCTCTTTTTTCCTGCGACCATCGCGAGCCGTGCAGTCCACCGCACGCGTTGTTTTCCTCCTTTTCTTTCGCCACAAAAGTTGTTCCCAGGTGTGGGAGGGTGTAATGCATGGGGGCGATGTTTTTTATTGACTGAAAATGGCGGCGACGGGGGAGAGAGGGACAAGCATGCATCAGACTCGGTGCAGCTGGTCCTCCTCCCCCTCGCTCATCCTCGGCCTCCCTCTCTTCCTCGGATCTCTTCATCAGGTGGCAGGGGGCGGAGTACGGGTGGCGATGAGGGTGGTTGGGGGTGGGGGGGGTGGGGGGGGGGGGGGGGGGGGCGGGGGCGGAGGGGGGCCGGGGTGGGGTGTGGCGGGGGCGGGGGGGGGGGGGGGGGGGGGGGGGGGGGGGGGCGCGGGGGCGGGGGCGGGGGCGGGGGCGGAGGGGGGGGGGATGAGGCGAAAAGGGGAGAAGGGAGCAGGGACACCTCGGCAGACCTCCGGCGAAAATGACTGGCGATGCGGGAGGAGGCACCGTTAGATGGTTGAGGCGCGTCGAGGACAGCGAGGTTCCTCTTTCCCTGGTTGTGTCGTCCTCTCGCTCTCTGGGCTGGCTGACGATGATGGCAGGGAAGTGGCTCGCATGGTTGTGGGTGTCTAACAAAATGGTTTGCCCCCCTGGCGGAGAAAAGGTGGACGAGAGGGAGCCACATGGGCCCCGGTGTCTTTTTCCTGGCCTCTTGGTCTCACCTTCTTTGTTTCTCGCCCCCTGCCTCTCGCCCGCTCTCTCTTTCTCTCAGCGGCCATGCGTCTACTCCTTCATGGAGGGAGATGACTGGGCACTCTTGCTCTGCTGCTTGGCCAGGAGGCGCGCCTCGTAGCCGACGCGCTCGAGGGGCCCGCCCGGGGTCTTGGCCACCTCGAGCCAGCCAATGCGGGTGTACTTGCTCAGGAAGAAGCCATGCCACTCGGTCATCGAATCCACCTCGGCCTTGGTGAGGTCCTCGAGAGGGTCGTATTCCTCGGACACCTGGGTCCATGGGGGGCGGGGGGGGGGGGAGCAGCAGCAGGAGGCGGGGGTGAGTTTGAGAGGGAACTTGGCAAGGGCAATCGGGGGCGGCAGGGGACGCGCACCATCGAGGGCTCGAAGGAATACTTGGCCATCCCGCGGGACGCGTCGCGGCCGGCAAAAATCGAATAGTCGGATTCTGCGGGAGGTGGGGGGGGGGGCAGCACGCGTCGGGACAGGGCATATCATGGGAAGCGCAAGTTAGCATACATGAAGGACAGGTCGGGCATAGGGCGCTTCGGGGGGGGGGGGGGGGGGGGGGGCCACTTTCCGGGACTCCCGTAGAACTTGGCACCCTCAGACACATCGAAGACGGTGCCATCCACGGCCAGGGCCAGGATACGGCGCTTCGGGGGGGAGGACGGGTCGGCCGACTCCACGGCGGCGGGCTTGTCGCTGGGAGAGTCGAGCAGCTCGCCGCGCATGGTGCGGAGCTCCTCCAGGGTGTAGCCACGGAGGCAGATGACGCGCGGGTGGCGGACAGCCGGCCTCTTGGGCAGAGGGGTGAAGAGGATCCGCAGGAAAATGACCAGCAGGGCAAGGAGGAACTATGGCGCCGGCATGGCTCGCGGGTTAGTGCGGGCGCAAATGTACACACGGCCAAGGGCCACATCCGAGCCCCGGGAAAGGGGACGCACCCAGTTGAAGCCGTTTGTCAGGAGCATCCGGAGGAGGGAGCCCTCCTCCAGTCCGGCAAAGAGAGGGCCAGATAGAATGGACATTCTTGTGATTGGGCGGGGCGGATGGGGCCTGGTGGGGATGTGGCCGTGTCTGTGCCTGTGTCTGTGTGTGTGTGTGTGTTTCCACCGGTTCGGGCGGCACTCGGACTGTGTCCTGTGGTATGGGGCGCGAAGGTGAGGGTGCCTGGCAGTGGGCAGTGGGCAGGGAGCAGGGGGAGGAGAAGGGGGAAGGAGAGGAGGGAAGGGAGAGGGCGCGAAGGGCAGTGTGGCCTCGAGGCGAGGGGATCAGCGCGGAGGGGTCTCACTTATCTTCCCATCGCGGCCACTCGGGCGGTCTTGGGCTGTGCCCGGGCCCGGATGGCCCTGGCTGGCGCGGGGTCGTGAGATCCTGGCCTGGATCGGCCTCTGGCAGGGAGGCCCGCGCGCGATCGGGGCGGGGTGGGAGGAGCCGGGCCCCTGGTGCCCTGCGTGGGGCTCCTGCCTGAGATCGGCCCACTTGCGGGTGACCCTGCTGCGCGCCGGCGTGCCCTGAGACAGCCCCGTGTGCTGCTGGCGCGGGGGCCGGGAGAACCGGGCGCCCTTCAGAATCAGCGAGAGGCAGAGAAAGAGAGAGAGAGAGAGAGAGAGAGGGGGGGGGGGGAAGAAGCCGGGCCGGGGACAGGGGGATGCACCACCGTTCGGCGGCGGTGCAACGAGGCTCACATGCCAATTCTCAGCTGGGCATGCCGACGATGGGTTTGTCGGGGTGACGCTCCGCATCGGCCTGCTGCCGCGGTGACCGTGGCCGCCGCCACTGCCATCGGGTGCCGCGGAACCCGATGCCCGGCTGCCCTCGCTCGCCCGAGAGAGCGGCTTGTCGGGGGCAGGCCGGGGGAGGAGGGCATTGTCTAAGCGCGCGCGCGCCCACGCACAAGGTTGGCGCCCACAATCTCGACCCGGAGCGTGTGCGAGCCTCGGCGGTGGCGAACATTCCGCGCGTTGGTGCGTGCGCGCGCATGTACGCGCGTGGCGTCTGCGGGTGTGGATGCACGCGCGCCAGACGCCTGAGGAGGTGTGGCGTGCGGGTGGCCGTGTCGCCACCTGCCCGTCGGGGAGAGGCGCCTTATGTGCGAGCCGGGGCCGGGCGTCGTCCGCCTGCTGTTTGTCGCCGCCTCCTCTCCCCGGGCAGGTGGAGGCCGGGGGGCGGGGGTGAGGGGGGTCGGGCGTCGTCTGGGTGGGACCCCCGCGCACACGCGCGCGCGCGCGCGCGCGGGCTCCACGCTTCCCCGCCCCCAGGGGGATCGGACGCAAAAGGCTGCGTGTGCCGTGCGGCAGAGGACGCCCCGCCAGCAGCTCTGGACTGGCGGGGCCTCGCGCGCCTTTGCATGCG